ACCACCGCCTTCTTCCTACCTCATCTCTGACTGGGATCTGTCTTGTTTTCCTTAACACTTCCCCATTGGTGACCTTGTCTGTCCATCTGATCCTCAGTAACTTTCTTGGACACCTGTTCAAGAAAACCTGGATCCTCTTTATACAAGTCTGTGATGCGTTCCATGTCTCACATCCATACAACAGGACAGACTTCACGTTTGAATAGAAAAATCCTCTTTGTTTGAAGAAAGATATCTCTGGTCTTCCAAATCCTATCCAAAGATATGAAAGCAGCCTGTGCTTTTCCAAAAATGCGGAACTTTATTTCAGCACCTGTTCCTCCCTCTCTGTCAATTATGCTCCCAAGATAGCAGAAGGATTCAACGTTTTCTAGTGCCTTTCCTTCTATTGTGAACTGCTCCTTTCGTTGTGCATCTGTCCTTAGGGCCTTTGACTTTCCGGGGTGGATCCTCAATCCAACAGACTCAGATAGGCTGTTTAATATTGAAGTCTTTGCTTACATCTGTGCCTGGGTGTGCGACAGAAGCGCCAAGTCGTCTGCAAAATCCAGATCGTCCAACTGTGTCCATGGTGTCCACGGTATACCATTTCTGTGTCCTCTGGTGGTTTCCTTCATCCGCCAGTCGACTGCCAATATGAAGAGGATTGGTGATAGTAGACATCCCTGTCTCACACCAGTCTTAATGTCAAAGCTGTCAGTGAGCTGGCCATCATGTACAACCCTGCAACTTGTCCCTTCGTACATGCTCCTGGTGAGGTTCACCAACTTCTGTGGGTTCCGTGGTGTCTCATTATCTTCCATAGTGACCATAGTGTTGCTCGGTCTATACTGTCAAAGGCCTTCTCATAGTCAAGGAAGTTGACAATCAGCTGGGAGTTCCACTCCAGGGACTGTTCCACAATAATCCTCAGCGTGGCAATCTGGTCGGTGGTTGAGCGATTTTTCCGGAAACCAGCCTGTTCATCCCGTAGTCTTGGATCCGTTGCTGTCTTGATTCTCTCCAGAACGATTCCGTTGAAGATCTTACCTGGTATTGAGAGAAGAGTGATCTCTTTGTAGTTTCTGCAGTTGCTGAGATCCCCCTTTTTTGGAAGCTTCATGAGGTGTCCTTCTTTCCAATCCTTTGGGAACTTGCTCTCATTCCAGATCCTGGTAAACAGTGGGAGGAGGATGTCTGCCATCACATTGGCATCTGCTTTTAGGGCTTCAGGTGGAATCTGGTGGAATCTGGTCGGGACCGTCCGCTTTACCTTTGTTCAGTGATCTAGTGCTTTATAAAAATGATTTTAAAATATGTAGACGTCAAAATAGAAATCTATCCCTCCTCTCAGAAGTTTCAATAGACATTTTTTCCCTGTATTTTTCCATTATTACAAGATTTTTAATTTTTTTAATGTACTGTTTTGTTCAACCATTTCCTAAAAACTACTGAGTTCACTGGTACAATTACTACAGGACACTTAAGCAACCATGGAACATCCATTTATACTAGCACAAATAAACCAGAAAGTTTATCTGGAGACCTAAACATATGTAGCAGGGACAGAAAAGGGAGAATAGAGCAAAGGCACGATTAATGAAGTTCTGCAGCAGGCATAGGCATGCATGGCCAAGTTAAAGGCCGGAATAAGTGATTATGAATATCTCCCGATCCAAATCAGGAGAAAAATTAGGTAAAATCCGTTGAGATTCCCAAGTTCTCAAAGCAATATGAAAACTGTCACAACAGCATGTCACTCATGTGCATTTTATGAGATACAAAACTGATCTATCGCTTCCATCTGGGTGGGGAACTGTTAATTTTAATAGACAAAACTGACTTAATTATCAGCTCACCACGCGCCAGATCCGTCATCAATTACTGGGTCAACTCATGGGCCGGACTGAAATTGCTCGTAGGCCGCATCTGGCCTGTGGGCTGTAGTTTGACCATGCCAGTTTTAAAGAGATAGTCTTCCGTTTCAATTATGCAGCCATCACAATGAAGAAAATGATTTACTCTTTTTTGTTTAATGACCTTGCAATTGATTCATTCCATGATTGAATTCCCAACTCTATTAGAACTGTAACTTAAAGACTCCAGACAGTCAAACTGTTCTCAGAGCATGTGTAAATTTCCTTTGCGGACACTAACATACACATCACATTATAATCCATAAATGCTGATAAAAGAAAAAGAGCAAAAATAACAAAAGCAAAAGTACAAGGTGTTTCACAAAATATGGAAAAGACCCTACATTCTACAAACATGAGAAACAAGTTCAAATTATCACGTCATTTAGTTGGCTCAGATCTCACATAGTTTTGATATTCGTATTTATCACATTCAAATCTCACAAAATTTAATAAGTACATTCGGTCGCTTTTAAAGACAAGCGGGCTAACCCAGATTTTGGGGGTTTCCAGAAATCTTGACCTGCACCAAAAGTGGACATCACCCTTACTACTGGAGAAGTTTGGTTTCACTGGTGTGGATATCTGTTTGGTTATAGAGAAAGCTCTCCTAGTCTTTTAAAGAAACTGAACAAGGGGCAAAAACTTTACTTTCGCTTTTCTCAAAACAGCATTTTTCGGGAGAGCCCTCTTGTGCTTAAAAGCGACCATTTAATACAAGTATTTTTCATATAATTAGTTATATAAAAATAAATACAGATATATATATATATTATATGTGTGCGTATGTGTTTGTGTGAGTTTGTGTGTGTGTGTGTGTGTGTGTTTGAGTGTGAGTGTGTGTGTGTGAGAGTGTGTGTGTGTGTGTCTGTGTGGACATTTGTGTGTGTGTGTGGAGGAATCAGGCGTTCATCAAAATAATGAAATAAAACAAACAAACAACACTTTTTCGCCCTTGGGCAACTTTTATCAAAGTTTTTGTTATGGTCTTACCACTTTTTATGTCCATTTAAAAACACATTCCTGTTTGGGTTTTACTTTTCTGAAAAACATTGATTAAAGGCACAAAAAAGGTAAATTTGCAGTTCCCAAGGGAACTACAGCTTTGGAAGTTTTCTTGCTAATTTTACCTCTGATACCAGGCAACCCTCACCTCCTTCAATCACAGCTACCTTGAATTCAAGTCAGACTGGTATTTTTACTCATCTAAATCAAACCAAATGAACAGGCTTTAAGAGTACACCAATAAGTATATATGCCCCAAAATATTATTGACAAGCACCTGATTCAACTGTGTCATGACACAAAAATAATATATATATATATATATATATATATATATATATATATATATATATATATATATATAATATATATACATATATTTATATATATGAATAATATATACACACATGTATATTAATATATTTTTAAACTACTCAGTTTTCTGGCTACCTGGAATATATGTATAATACACTCAGATCTCATATTTTAAATTTACCATGCATAACACACTCATATCTCATTCACGTGGTCACAGTTTACGTAGGTTAAAAAAGGACAATACACATTAGGCACAAGACCAGTAGACATCAATAACAATTTAATATCAAAATAAGAAACAGATCTCAACACATTAAGTGTTTGTTTGAGCTGCTTATTTGACTAAAGATGTTTTAGTTTTAGTAAGAGTTTTATGGCACTTGTAACACAATAAGGTCATTTAAGTGCCGAAGATTAGAGGTGTTACAAGAGAGTAACAAACACAAAAAAGAAGGAGAGATCAGGACAAGAGAGATGTCTGATAGGAAAGAAGGAGCAAACCACACTAGGGCACCCGCCAACACCAACTTTGACTAAAGAGAAGCACATTGACACAATACTGGTCATAGAGCGCATGGAAGAAGCTAGATAGAAACAATAAAGGGAAAGAAAAAAGTAGAAATCATCAGTGGCGCCTTCCAACCACCCAAGCCATGGAATAGGATTTAAAGGTTGACAGCAAAAGCCCAGGGGTATGGTGTAGATTTAACAATGTGGTATATTTCCTCACAATGAAGCACATGTCCACTTCAGTCACAAAAATTTATTAAGAAAGAAAAAGAAGTAGTTTTATGTTCACTATCAGTATCAGCCTCCTTGTGACAGCAAAAGGAGGTACAACTTTTGCAAACATCTCCCACCCCAGAACCCCAGAACTTCCTCCGTCCCCCTACCCTCCACCACTTCAGCCTGTGAAGACTGACAAAATTACTGTAAGTTTTTCAGTTATTTTATTAACAACCCTGATGCCACGAGTTCTGAAATGCTATGTTTGGTCAACCCTTCTATATGGCTGAGAATGCTGGAAAATCACTAAAGACAGTGAAAATAAAACAGAAGCAACAGAAATGTAGTTTCCTAGGAGACTGCTAAGAGTACCGTGGAAGGAAAAGAAATCAAATGAGGTAGTGCTTGATGAAGCCCACGTGGGACGCTTAAAGTTAAAAACAATCAGGAAACGACAAATGCAGTTTTTGGGACACCTGAATAGACATAAGGGTCTTGAACATCTAGCTCTTACTGGAAAAATTGAGGGCAAGCGAGGCAGGGGTAGGCCCAGAACAACATACTTAGGGAACCTAAACAAATGGGTAACAGGGAAAGATCAGGGAAACATAGCTTTTTTGAGAACATCCGAGCAAAGGAATGTATGGAGAACCACGATCACCGATGTCAGTCGCAGATCTGGCACTGGATGATGATGATGCCACGACGCAGTGACAGGTTGCAACAAGTGACACAGCCATGCTGGTGGAGAGGCAGTTAATTTGACAGTAAATGTCATTATAATAAACATTTCGGAAGAAAAATCTTTTTTTGGACGTACTCTTGTGAAACTATCTGATGATGGGAAACATTAGGGTAGTGAACATAATTTGTGCTTGATATGGACGTTTTAAGCACAAGGGGACTATCCCGAAAAATGCTGTTTAAAAAAAAAATCGAAGTAAAGTTTTTGCCCCTTGTTAAGTTTCTTTAAACAAGGAAATTTTCTCTAAAACCATCCAACTATACACACCAATGAAACCAAACTTCTATAGGTAGGGCAATGCCCACTTTTGGTGTAGGTCAATATTTCTGGAAACCTCTGAAATCTGGGTTAGCCCGCTTGTCCTTAAAAGCGACCATAAGTCTTGAAATTGCTGTTTTTGAAAAGGGCAGGTAGGAAAAATCTTTATATGTGAGGGCTTTGTAAAAAAAAAAAATAGAAAAAAAAAAGCTTAATATTTTATTCAGGACCTGTACACTACTATTAAAGAAAAAAAACAGATCTAAAACAGTAGAAAATTGTTGGTTGCATAAACAAAATTTGTAAGCAGTAAAGAACTTAAAGATCTTGCTGGCGATCTAAATCGGGAAAAAGCAATAGTCCAAGTAATAGAGATTGCCAGTTTTGACACAGAGCCTTTCATATATATATAACACATTTTTTACTGGGGAAATCCTCCAACAAAGGCAACTAAGTTGCAAAAGTTTTTGTAGTTTTTCTACAGTGAGAAAAAGTCTAAACCAGGGTCCTTCATCAATCAGCAGTATTGACAACATCATCTAAACAACAGGTTCATTCCCTTTGTCTAAAGAGTCATACATAAACATCACAGTCTTGCCTCTACATTAGAACTGAGGGCTATCAACAAAGGTAACAGATTAGTTTTTTCAGTATTGGTGTTATTGATATGTTCTTTTGAGCGTTATGAGCAATCCAAGCGCTAACAACAAAGACAATGGATCAGTTATCAGTGCAACGATGTGCTATTTTGACAATGTGCAAAGTAGCAATGAGAGTACATGGGCATAATGAATGACCCTTTGAATTTTAGGAATGATCCAAGGACTATCAAGATAGACAATATATCAGTCTCAGTGAGTTCAAATATTCCCATATGACAGTGTGTGAGGTATATGGACAAAGTCGTAGACTGTGCTATCGTTTTCACTTCTATCTCTCACTTGAACACTTCAAAAAATCTTCAGACATCCCCAGACATATAATTCACTATTCAGCCAGTCACCAACAATCTACAACTATCCCAGCCAGTCACCAACAATCTACAACTATCCCAGCCAGTCACCAACAATCTACAACTATCCCAACCAATCACAAACAATCTACAACTATCCTGGACATCACAACAGCCTACAACTATCCAAGATAATCACAAACAGCCTACAAATAATGAGCAAATTACAAACAGCCAATCCATGACCTAAAGTCCTTAGCCATCCCAGACAAATGCTCAACTATTCAGCCAAAGCTTACCAGTGAGAGAATCACACAGAGTATGTGGATGTTAACATAATTGTAAATGATACAATGAGACTATAAAAGGCTCTTTTTATCAGAACAGTTGGTCCAAGAAGCCGAATACAGTGGTCTACAGCCTGCAGCTCCTCTTTCCCTTATGAAGAGAGATGAAAGGGGGAAAGGGCGGGGGGTTGGAGGTACTCCACATGTACAAATTGAAGTGTTGTCTCACGATAAAACAACAATCATGAGAATTGGGAGAAAATATCTAGGAGGATTTGGTGAAAAGTCTTGAGCACAAACTTTACTTATTATTTAAAGAATCACAATTCAACAACAAATTCATATCTCTAGAAAAAAATAGATACAAAAGCAAGGAATGCTCTCAAATCTGCCTATGTACCAATGAGCACAACAGGCTGTGCATGTAAGCCCAACAGCGTGTGCTTAATGAGCGTGTTATCAGTGCAATGAGAGCCTAGAAAACAGCTAAACCTCAAAGTCAGTTGTAGAAATACTTGGGTGTGTTCATGTGGAAGCCATGGTTCTTGAAGTAGCCGTGACCCCGGTGGTGTTTGCCGAACCTTAGAGAGATAACGACAAACATAAGTGATATGAGGCATGACATATCAATAGAGCACACAAAAATACTCACTCAAACACACATCACAGTAGTCGGTTAGTCATCCATAGCGTCTGAACAAAAACTTTCCAACTGCTTATCAAAATGTTATGTGTAATAGCTTATCATAATACAGATGAATTATACAGAAACTATTTGCTATGATATAGATTGTAAAGCAATAGAACTTGCTGTTGAGTGGGAATTCGCACTATACAAATGCTACTTATAATTCGGCACTCAGAATTTGTTTCTGAACGAAATGGAAAGCTACATAAATGCCATCTATCATTAAAGTCCCGATTATTCGTCAAAATGTTCTATAGCGTAGATCATATAGATGATGCATACAGGCAATATTTCAAGTTGTTACATGTGTCCATCAAAATCCAGTAAATAATAATACAATATAGATGAAGTATACGAGTAGTACCTGCTGTTGTTGTAACTGGCCATCAAATCTTCTAATCTTCTATTTTCAAGATAATATAAATGACATATTCATATAATATTTACTGTTGTCTACGAGGTAAAATACTTGACTTACTTGTGGTTGTAGCGAATGTCCTTGTCAATGTTTTGAGAGTCTGGGCTAGTTGTGACTTTCTCATTGTCCATGTAGTTCTGTGGGTCTTCAGGGATTCTAAATGTCCCGACCTGCACCTCTGTATCACTCAGGCCCCCATGGCTGATCCGAGCATAGCCCAGCCTGGCAGAAAATATAAGTACAAGTGTCATTTGTTACTGAATTACTGATCCAAAGAGTGTCACTTATCACATAATTACCAGCAACACATGAGTTATTTATCACATAATTACTGGGAAATAGCCTAATCGACCAAAAACATGGCCATGCATGTGTCATTTATCACTTCATTTCTGTAACTAAAATCAAAACTATCAAACCCCTTTAACGAAGCAAATCAGAACTTATACGACCTAACTGAGTTGCAAGTGTTGTAAACTATTACAAAAACTTAAAGAACTAAAGAAGAAAAGGTTAAATAACAGACAGAGTTAGCAACCGCCGTCTGTGGTGCAGCAGTTAGACGCTACTCCATCATACGCAAAATATGTGAGTTCAATTCCAATTTGACAAAAATTTTAATCAGCATCTCCATCTTTCTGCAGCGTCGTTGCATCCTTCTCAGCCCAGGCTCGCCCTGACAGGTAAGGTCAAAGCAGACTGCCTCCTAATTGAAGTAATTGTGTTGAAGGGGCTGTAAAATAGCTACAATTTTTTAAAATAACAAACTACTTAGTTAATGTTAGCGGCAATGTATGTGTAAGTGTCACTGTTAATGTTAAGAGTTGGTGTAAGGGGTAGACTCACCTGATCAATCTCTTGTACATGATGTACTCACACCAGCGGTCATGGTCTGTGGGGTCAATGTCCTTGACCTCTCCCTTCTGGATCAGGTGCTGATAGTTGGGGCTGCCGGGTGAGGAGGTCACATACCCCAAGAATATGGCCGGATGCCGGCTGGGGATATCACACACACATAGGGTTTTGTATAGACACACACACTTACATCGGGTTCTGTCCTTTGCACACACAAACACATATGTACACACACATATATATATGAACGTGCATTTACACACACACACACACACACACACACACACACACACACACACACACACACACACACACAT